TATCCACTTAAGAGTGAGTACATGCCCGATTTGTCTTTCTGGGTCTGGATTACCTCACCCAGGACATTTTGTTTTCTAGTTCCATTTGCCTGCAAATTTCATGATGTCATTTTTTTTTCAGCTAAGTAATACTTTATTGTGTAAGTGTACTACATTTTTTAATCCATTCTTTAGTTGAGGGACATCTAGGTTGTTTCCAGGTTCTGGTTATTACAAATAGTGCTGCATGAACATTGTTGAGCAGGTTGACATTAAAATTTAAGAGTTGACAAAGGGTTCAGGAAGTCCTAGTTGAGCTATGTATGCACAATGTTTGGAAGATGGGATTTTCTTACACTATTAGTTCTCAACCATGATATATATCAGAACTGGCTGGGTAGGACGTGTTAACATAAACATTTCTGGGGCCCTATCACTACAGTTTATTAATACAGTGGTAGAGCTAGGATAGGTATCAGGGATTTTATACCTAGTTTTCTAGTGATGTGTAACCTGTTGGTCCAAGGACTACTTTGAGAACTGATGCCTTAGGTATTTGTCTGGATTTTAGAAGACCTCATTGTCTCATTTTAAAATAGTTGCTATGAGGAGAGAGGAATAAATGCAAATTCAAATGGAGAGATTGAGCTCTTCTTTGAAAGGCTCATGACTTTTGACCCTTGCTTTCTCTATCTATAAATGGTGATAATAATAGCCACCCCACAGCACTGTTCCAACTATCACAGAAGGTATTTTATCTCTTAAATGTAATATAAATGTAAGATTCTAATACTTGAGAACATGGGGGAGTGTACCAAAAACTTCTTAAATAGCAAATCTTCTCAGTTAGAGGCTTTGGGGAAGAATTTCATATTACTGTCCTACTGGTGGATTTTTTTTGCTGGGATGATTTTTCCCTTTATTTATTACCATTTGGGGAAATTACTGTATTGTGAAAAATGCATTTGGATCAAAAGAAGGATATTATGGGTTATTTTCCATGACTGTTGCTGAGACTGAGTTTTCTTTTCCTTTCTTTCTTTTTTTGATGTGTCTGATCATTAGGTGGTAATGATTCAGTCATTATGGTCATTTCTGTTCCAGGCATGGTGATATTATCACTCATAAACTATACCCCATAGTATTTTGTCAGCAGTTTTTTTTTTTAACACAATGAAACAACTCATCAGTGCTGTTGTCTCTCTGGGTAGCTTCCCAGCTAACATTCCATCTTCTACCTCTCAGAGATCTTGTTATGCTATTGTCTTAGTAAAGTCTTGGCCAGAAAAGCCTCACTGTTCTTTTTTGATCTCCATAGATTTTTTGTAAATGTTTTCAGATGTCTGTTACTGGTCAGGAAACTGCCATTGAATTAGTGTCTTTCACATATCACTCTGTGGTGTCTGGGAAAGCATACAGGCTTTAGACATATCTGGCTCTGGGCTAGCCTCCATGACTTATTACAGTGGTCTATACATAGGCCTTGGTGGGGGGCAGGACTTAAAGATAATATTTGTGATAGGTCTTACTGTAGAACTGATCATTGAATTGACCTGGGGCACCTTTGCATATGCACTTAACAAAAACTCTCCAGCTGAATCTACTTTTTTGAAACCCGCTGACTGTGTGATGAAGAGTTCACTAAATGATTCTACACTTCAATTATCTATGTATTCAGTTAAAAGCTTAATTATTTCAGAGTCAATATTTTTCTCACCTCTCCGTCTCTCCAGTACCCAGAACTATGAATACATACTTGGGTGTTCAGGATGTGTTGAGTCCATGAAAGAAGGGTCTCTTAAATATTATACTATGTCTGACCAATTAAGAGAATATATACTAACAAGCTGAACTATTTTCTTCTACTCTATATCAGTTCCTTTTCACACTGGTAGGATAAAACACTCCATAAAAGCATGAAAGAAGGGTTCCTTCCTTCCTCCCTTCCTCCCTTCTCTTTCTTTCACTTTTTTCTTTTATGAGACAGGTGTTCTCTGTAGCTTTGGAGCCTGTTCTGGAACTCACTCTATAGACCAGGCTGACCTTAAACTCACAGAGATCCACCTGCCTCTGCTTCCCAAGTGCTGGAATTAAAGGCACGTGCCACCAACACCCAGCTAAGAAAGGATTATTTCATCCCACAGTTTACATGGATAGTCTATCATAGTGGAGAAGTCAGGGTGGCTAGTGCTCGAGGCACCTGGTCACATTGCATTTACAGCCAGGAAGCAGAGAGAAATAAATGCTTGTGCTCAGTTAGCTTTCTTCTTTTTATTTGAGTTGGCACTTCTGCCCATAGAATGGTGCCACCCACATTCAGAGTGGGTCTTCCCACCTCAGTTAACTCAACCTAGATAATCTGTCATAGGTTTGCCCAGAGGTTTGTTTCTCAAGTGAGTCTAGATCCTGTCAGGTTGGCAATATTAACCATCACACTGACTGTGGGTGCTCAGTCAACAGTAAATGCTCAGTGAGAATTCTTGTCTTGTTGCGTAGGGTATGTAGGGAAAAAGGGAATGTCCAAGATAGTGTGTTTCTTTTAGTGACCAAAACACTAAAAGGCTGAGGGCAAGACTTTGTCTTAAAATTCTTTTTTGTCTTAACTTTTTCTTTATTCTTCTCTTATATTATACATCCTGACTGCAGCTTCCCTTCCCTCCCCTTCTCCCAGCACTTTCCCACCACCCTTCTCCCCCAGATCCACTGCTCCTCCATTTCCCTTCAGAAAAAAAGTAGACTCCCAGTGATATCAACTGAACATGGCATAACAAGATGCAATGGACTAGGTATAAACCCTCATATCATGGCTAGGAATGACTATCCAGTAGGACGAAAGGGATCTCATGAGCAGACAAAAGTGTGAGAAACAACCCCTCTCCAACTATTAGGAATATAATAAAAATTCCAAGCTAAAAAAACCACAGCATGCAGCACAGACTCATGAAGGCTCTGTAATTGCTGTCTCAGTCTCAGTGAGCATCTATGAGAGCTGCTTAGTTGATACCATGGGCAGTGTTCCCTGGGTGTCCTCAACCCCTCTGGCTCCTACACTTCTTCCTCTTCTGCAGGGCTCCAATACCTCCACCTAATGTTTAGCTGTGGGTCTCTGCATCTGCTTCCATCAGTTGCTGGAGGAAGCCTCTTTGATGACAATTGGGCTAGGTACTGTCTTTTTTTTTTTTTTTTTTTTTTTTTTTTTTTTTGTCAGTCATGTTTGGTTCTACCCTAGGTCTCTGTGCCATCCAGCCTCTGGTTTCTGGCACTCTTGAAGGCAGGATAGGTTGTGGGTCAAAGGTTTTTTAAAGGCTGGGTTGAAGTCCCAGTCTCACCACTGGAATCCTAGCATGGTTACAGAATATGGCTCCATATCCTCCATTACTAGGAAACCTTTCTAGGGTCAGGCTCATAGTTTCCAGGAGGTTTCCACTGGACTAGATTTCTACATGGCCTCCTACATGCCATCCATTCTAGTCATCTCTATCCATACTCTCTCCATCTAATCCTTCTTCCCTCACTTAATCCCTCCTTTAGATAAACAGGAATTAAGGAAATCTATACTAGTATGTCATTTTAGTTAGCCAGAAGGGGAAACCAGTGGTGACCGGGCCAGATCTGACAAGGGTATGCCAAAACTTTCTGAAATAGTCAAGAAGACTATATGAAACACATATTTACATACTTTGTCACACTAACATTATTTTATGCAGATAATATATATTAAAGTATGAATGCCATGATGTTTGAAAAATTAATCCATGTCCATAAACATTTTATCTTTAAAATTTTCTATTTCTATTTATTAAAAATAATTCTTTGAGGGGTTGGAGAGATGACTCAGTGGTTAAGAGCACTTGCTGCTCTTGCAGAGGATCAGGGTTCAGTTATCAGCCCTCATATGGTGACTCACAACCATCGGTAACTCTTCAGTTCCTGGGAATCATAACCCACTCTGGCTTCTGTGGGCACTGCACATATGTGGTGCACACATGCACACAAAACACTTATGCACATAAAATAAAAATACTCAAATCTTCAAGTATGAGGGCATATACTTGTAATCCCAGCACATTTATGAGATATAGGCATAAGGAGGTCAGCCTGGGCTATATAGTGAAAACCTATCTCAAAAATGTTCTTGATAGAGTAATCTGTATGTCTATATAAATTAAAACAAACATCTCTATACTTGTATATATTCAAGAACTATTTTGCTCCCTGGAGAACATGTGTATTGTGGCAGTATTATGCAAATGAACTTGTGAATTGTTCTTGTTGGGTGGGTTAGTATCATCATGTCTTGCTGCTGTTCACATTTCTGCATGACCTAGGAGTCAACTTAGGAATGTGTGTCATTAGTCACCATGGTAATGGCACAGCTAAGAAGGGATGGGTCATTAAGTATCCATCATCATGGGTGAGGTATAAATGAACTCAGACCACAGACCTTTCTGAGGTTAGGGATTCTTTTCCTTATAGAAAACAGTAGCACTTAAAATAGAACAGAGTTTTGACATGTGTATCAGGGCATTATAGAACCCATGAGATTCTTCATATGTTTAGAGGTCAACAGAGACTTAGAAATTCACTCTGTTAATTATTTTGTTATTTTAACCTTACAATCACCTTGTGAAGCAGAGGACATCTCATTGTTTCACAAGGAAAGATAATGAGGAAGGCTTAGGTGACTTGCTTGGGCTCACACATTTAGAGCTTATAGAAACAAAGTAAATTTTTAGATGATTGTTATTAATGAATACTTTGATTTTAGTTTCTGAAAAGCCAACAATACACAGGTATTGGATTAGGTCATTAGTAATTTGAATTACTAATTTGAATTTGAATTAGTAATTTGACACAGGAGACTGGAGGAAGGACTATGCTTTGGGGCCAGAATCTTCAAATCAGTTTTGGTGGTGCTCATTGACCTTATATTATCCTTGCCAACTGTTCTCAGAAGGTATTTTTCAGGGAACAAGATATGACCTAAACTGTAACAAATGTTTATTTCTCTCCTTTAACAGAACTATTGCCAACTATTTGGTGTGGAGAATGGTTTATTCCAGAATTCCTAACCTCAGCAGGCGCTTTCAATATAGATGGCTGGAATTTTCAAGGGTAAGTTAACAAATATCAAAATGTTCATACATGCTGGAATAGTCCAAATACTAACCATTCCAGTAAAACAATAATCTTTAGGAATGGAATGCAGGGAGCTTACAGCCTAAACTCTCCTTTAAACATTTTTGCATTAGTTCATCTCATTCAGGTGTACCTGTGTCCAATATAAAGCACCCCAAGCTCTACATTGTGGCTGTATAATAATATTTAGAGTAATACTTTGGGCAATTCAATCTTGTTCAAACATCCCTCATTTTTACTTTTTTTTTATTGGTTTAGCTGAAATTATGGTTTTGAAGTTTCTTATCGCTATGTCATTTTCAAAGCAGTTCAAATTTCAATTAATTCCTTTGCCCTTTCACTGGCAAACACTGTGGTTAATTGTATATTTGTGGGATTCAGTATGATGTTTTGATCTACAAGTGCATTATAGAAAAATTCTGTCAAAATAATGACATTGTTTTAGCAATGTATTATCACTTCTGTGTTGAGAACATCAAAGGTCTATTTTATCAAAATTGAAATATGAAATTATCATTAACTGATTACACAGTATGACAAATGTTGTTTAATCTCACATATATGTGGAATATGAAATAGTTGATAAAAAATAGTGAATAGGACTGTGGTTAGTAGAAGTTGGAGGAGGGAGGCTGGGAAAGAGGAGATGTTCATCAAAGGATCCACAAATTCACTTATACTGGATGGATACAATGTGATGATCTCTCACTGTAACTATGGTTTTCAGGGTTTCTCCGTGTTCTAATTATATATAGAATGTTCCAGCTTCATTTTTCATTTGGTGTTAGAATTGTGTCTTTAACTTTATTTAGATATTCTATCTTAAATCTATTCTAATTCTGCTAGACCCACTTCAGTTTCTTTCCATGATATACTCAAGTGCCTGAATTCGTTTTCTTTCCCCCACTTACCTAGTCCTAGAGGCTTTGTTTCTCACCCACCTCTGTTGCCTACCAACTTATACAGACAGATGTTACTTTCATCTACATTTCTGAGGCTTTTGTCTAATTCTGCCACGGCTTAGAGGACTTAAGGTTTTTATGGCTTTAAAAAGTATTTTTATTTTTCTATCAATTTAAATCAAAGTGAATGTCAAATGTTATAAACTCATATTTCATTTAACATTCATTTAAATTCTTAGAGAAACTAGCAAATACACAAATTTATAGTGGCCCATTATACTTGGACAGTGATGTAGTTGCCGAATGGGCAACTTTTGACCCTTTATAGTCACTAGAATATAAAAAGTTACTTTATAGGAGTTAGGTAAGCATGAAGTAATTACTTATATTTAGGCCACATCAAATAGTTAAGATAGAAAACAAGTAGGTATTTTTGTCATGTGTGTATTTTTAACTCCTATGGATCACATAAAAGATGGTACCCAGCTGCTCTCCACCCCCACTGTGAAGAGAATGAGAGAGCGAGGTGTAAGAAGTGGTGTGTGAAAATTTCAGGTTAGGTATAAGGGGATGTTTCTTGAACATGAAGTGCTAAATATAATACTGAATTGCCAAAGGAGGTTGTAGGATTGCTTTCCCTGGAGGTTTTAAAAATAGCTTCATCTCTTACCTCTGAGGAGGGTCCTGTTCCCAGAAAGAAAAAAAGGAGAGATGAATTTAAGTTTTAATCCCCTTTGCCCCACTCTAACAACCTGTCTCTAAAACTGTGTATGGGTATTCTAGGCCACTGTTATCAAGGCCTCCCTCCCTCACTGTCTGCCTGCACACTCCAGCCTCCAGAGAAAACTTACGTGGCATTTATTTCTGTGCTTTCATCCCCAAGAGTAAACCTTGGCACTTTCAAATCCTGCTTTGGAAGTCCCTTACTTGTTTATGAATGTTTTCTTATAATAGTCTAACAGAGCAGATGGGAAAAGCATTTACATCTGTATTTTACTCTGCTATGACACTGTGTAAATGGGCTTCCCAGGTTGTTCATGGTGAGATATGGTCTGCTGGTCTGCTAACAAGAACTTTGATTACCTGAAATTCTAAAACTTCCCTGGTAGAACTGCAGTTCTCAGTAGACACTAAGTATTGTCTGGATCCTAAACCACATCCCCTTGTGTCTCAACTTGCTGCAGAAAAGCTATGCCATCTTCTATATGTTTTGCTTAATGGAGAAAATTAGAATAAAGGTGAAATGAATTGTTTTTCCACTGTCAAAACATTTTCATCTAGTTGTAGCTAGAAACTAGGGCCAAACAGTTTTATTTTCTCCATCCGATTCACCTTAGCCTTTCCTATCTGGCATGCATATGCGATGCGGGGATTATTTTTTGTAGACTGCTTTCTTCAGATGAGTTGACTCCCCCCACCAAGCAATAAATATTATTCAAACAAAGCTCAAATTGGATTCTTGATTATCTTCCACAGGTAATCCAGGGGACCACAACTCTTCTGCCTCAGTGGGACAAATGTGTTAACTTTATTGAAAGCGCCCTCCCTTACGTTGTGGGGAAAATGTTCGTGAATGTTCATTTCCAGGAAGATAAGAAGGAGATGGTAAGTGGAGCTTCCTGGATGCTAAAGACAAACAAACAGAATAGTGGTCATCTAGGCACATCTGGCAGATGTGATGATTCATAGTCTGAATGTGGAGATTCACAGATATTCTATTCAGCTTCTTTGCATTTTTCAGGGAAACAGGAATAACGGTCATCAAATGTGAGGTGGCGAGTAGATATTGAAGGTTTGAAGAGTGAGAATGTATGCAATAGGTGTCCAAAGGAGTCGGCCAGTATAACTAAGGACATTTAGTATGGGTGCTTAAAAACATGTAAAATCTAAGTCTAGGTGAGGTTCAAGGTCATGAATTTAAAGATATTTGTCACCATGGTTATATGTTTTTCTCCATCTGTTTAAGCTGCTTTGAGGGACAGGATATATATTTTTCTTTCAGCTTTACTGAGGATCATTTGACAGGTAAAATTTATATATACCAAAGGTATATAATATAATGATTTGGTACACACTGTAAAGTGATTACCACAGTGAAATCAGTACATCCATCACCACATGGATAGTTTTATGTTTGTCTTTGGGATGGTATTGTGTGACACTCTTTTGGGGAGCCATGAACAAGTATCTACTCACTCCAGATAGGGAAATGACAACAGACCAAATGTATGACACCCCAAAGTACAGCTTACTGAACCAATGGAGTTTCCCTGGGGTTATTATAGGTGTATGAGTGAGGGGTTACTGACAGGAAAAGGAATGACTAAAAGCTCACTTCATCATGGGTAGCTTCTCACAAAGACTAGAATAGTGGAGCTCACTGCATGAGATGCATGCAGCTCAACAGTTGAAAGTATCTTTGAGGCAGTCCCCTCGTCTGTGCCTCTTCCACCCAGCTTGCCTATTCCCTGTACTTCAGGCAGCTTGCCTGGCCTCTGTCTCTTCAGCAATCCTTACTGATTCTGTAAGCTAAGGGAGAGAGGGGCCCAGTGTATATTGTTAGTATCAGGAACTTCACCAGGTTTCTGAGTTGTTTACTTTTTGAGTCCTAAGGAGCCTCCCTTTAAAATTTCCAGGCTTAATAAGTCCCCACCCCTTTAATTAATTAATTATTTTTTAAAGTTATACATGTCCATTCCAGTTCCCTCTCCCTCTCCACATCCCTTCCTCCCTTCTTCCTTTCATTCCTCCCTGCCTTCACTCTGACCCTCTCTCCCCCCTCACATGCACCCTGACCACCATCCCCTCCCACCACTCCCAACTCCACATGCCGGGTCCTGTGGTAAACTAATTCCCATCTTCCTGAGGAACCTCCATGCTGATCTCCAAAATGGCTGTATGAATTTGCACTCCCACCAGCAGTGGAGGAGTGTTCACCTTTCTCCACATCCTCTCCAGCATACATTGTCATTGTTCTTTCTTTCTTTCTTTCTTTCTTTCTTTCTTTCTTTCTTTCTTTCTTTCTTTCTTTGTCATTGTTGTTTCTAATTTGAGACATTCTGGCAAGAGTAAGATGGTATCTCAAAGTTGTTTTGCATTTCCCTGAAAGCTAAAGATGTTGAGCACACCATTAGAAATCATATGACTATTTTAATTTGTCAACTGTCAGGCAAAACGGTATGTGACTCTCTTCCATGCACCTACATCATGTTTCTTCACATAATAATGTTGGTTAGGGCGAAGGTATACATTTTCATAAATTTGATTGAACTTTCAGTTTCAGTATTTTAAAATATTGTCTATAAAAGTTTCTTTAGCATGATTTTTACTATAGATAAATGAAGAAGTGTGTGTAGTATTGTTGAAATTGGGAAAGCTGTGTCACATTTCTTTTTGTTTCTTTTACATGTCAATCCCAGTTCACTCTCCCTCCCTCCCTCTTATCCTCTCTTCCCCCTCACATGCAGTCTGACCAACCTCCCCTCCCATCCCCCCACCCCCATTCCACATGTAGGGCCACCTGCCATCTGGTGGGGGGTCATGTAAATCTGTCAAGTAATTTCTTAAGTATCTTTCAGCCTTTTTGATTTCCTCTATTGAGATTTCTCTCCAGTTCTGTACCCCATGTTTTAATAGGGTTATTTGGTGTTTTGTTGACTAGGTTCTTGAGTTCTTTGAGCCCCTTGTCAGATGTAGGATTGGTGAAAATCTTTTCCCAGTCTGTGGGCTGTCATTTGATCTTGTCTACTCTGTCCTTTGCCTTACAGAAGCTTCTAAGTTTGAGGAGGTGCTATTTATTAATTGTTGATCCCAGGGTCTGCGCTACTGGAGTTATGTTCACGAAGCAGTCTCTTGTAAGGAGTATGGCTTTTCTGTCATACTCCTTACAGTCTCCTATACCAATTTGTTCAAGGGTACCTCCTACTTTCTCTTCTAAGAGGTTCAGTGTGGCTGGATTGATGTTGAGGTCTTTGATCCATTTGGACTTGAGTTTAGTGCATGGCGTTAGACATGGGTCTATCTGCAGTCTTCTACACACTGCCATACAATAGTGCCAGCACCATTTGTTGAAGATGCTTAACTCCCCTCTCCCATTGTATACTTTTAGCTGTTTTGTCAAAAATCAGGTGTTCGTAAGTGTTTTTGATTCAATTCCATTGGTCTACCTGTCTATTTTTGTGCCAGGCTGTTTTCAGAACTACAGGTCAGTAGTAGAGCTCAAAGTCAGGGATGGTCATGCCTCCTGAAGTTCTTTTATTGTACAGGGTTGTTTTGGCTATCCTAGGTCTTTTGCTTTTCCACATAAAGTTTATTATTATCATTTCAAGGTCAGTGAATAATTGTGCTGGGATTTTAATGGGGATTGCATTGAATCTGTAGATTGCTTTTGGCAATATTGCCATTTTTACTATGTTAATCCTACCTATCCAAGAACATGGGAGATCTTTCCATTTTCTGGTATTTTCTTTAATTTCTTTCTTTACAGTCAGAAAGTTCTTACTATATAGGTCTTTCACTTGTTTGGTAAGCGTTACCCCAAGATAGTTTATGTTGTTTGTGGCTATTGAAAAGGGTGATGTTTCTCTGATTTCTTTCTCTGTCTCTTTGTTGTCTGAAAAAAGTAGGGCTACTGATTTTTTTGAGTTTATCTTGTATCCTGCTAGTTTGCTGAAGGTGTTTATCACCTGTAGAAGGTCCCTGGTAGAGTTTATTGGGTCGCTTATGTAAACTATCATATCATCTGCAAATAGAGACTGTTTGAATTCTTCCTTTTCATTTTGGATCCCCTTGATCTCCTTTTGTTGTCTTATTGCTTTAGGTAGAACTTCAAGTGCTATATTGAAGAGATATGGAAAGAGAGGGCAGCCTTGTCTTGTTATTGATTTTAGAAGAATCACTTCTCTCCATTCAGTTTGATGTTAGCTGTGGGCTTCCTGTATATTGCTCTTATTATGTTTAAATATGTTCCTGTTTTCCCTGATTTCTCCAAGACCTTTATCATGAAATGGTGTTGAATTTTGTTGAAGTCATTTTCAGTATCTAGGGAGGTAATCATATGGTTTTTCTTTTTCAGTTTGTTTATATGGTGGATCACGTTGATAGATTTTCTTATGTTAATCCATCCCCGCAACCCAGGGATGAAGCCTACTTGGTCATGGTGGATGATTTTTCTGATGTATTCTTAGATTCATTTTGCCAGTATTTTATTGAGTATTTTTTCATTGATGTTCATCAGGGATGTTGGTCTGTAGTTTTCTTTCTTAGTTGTGTCTTTGTGAGGCTTGGGTACCAAGGTGATTGTGGCCTTGTAAAAAGAGTTTGGTAATGAACTTTCTTTTTCTATTGAGTGGAACAATTTGAGGATTATTGGTATTAGCTCTTCCTTGAATTTCTGGTAGAATTCTGCACTGAAGCCATCTGGCTCTGGGCTTTTTTTGTTTGATGACTGCTATTTCGTTGGGGGTTATAGGTCTATTTAAGTTGTTTGTCTGTTCTTGATTAATTTTGGTAAGTGATAGTTATCCAGAAATTTTTCCATTTCCTTTGAATTTTCAACTTTTGTGTAGTACAGGTTTTCAAAGTATGACCTGAAAATTTTCTGGAATTCCTCTGTGTTTGTTGTTATGTCCCCCTTTTCGTTTCTGATTTTGTTAATTTGCATGTTCTGTCTCTGCTTTTTCATGAATTTGGATAATGGTTTGTCTATCTTGTTGATTTTCTCGAAAAACCGACCCTTTGTTTCATTGATTTTTTTGTATTGTTTTGCTGGTTTCTATTTTATTGATTTCAGCCATCAAATTGATTATTTCCTGGCTTTTACTCCTCCAGGGTGGGTTTGCTTGTTTTTGTTCTAAGGCTTTCAGTCCTGCTATTAATTCTTTAATGTGACTATCCTCTGATTTCTTCATATGGGCATTTAGTGTAATGAATGAACTTCCCTTGTAACACTGCTTTTATGGTTTCCCATAAGTTTTGGTATGTCGTGTCCTCATTCTTGTTGGATTTTAGGAAGTCCTTAATTTCTTTCTTTATTTCTTTTTTGACCCAGGTATGGTGCAATTGTGCATTGTTCAGTTTCTATGAGTTTTTAGCGTTTTTGTGATTTGTGTTGTTGTTGAATTCCAAATTTAAATCATGGTGATCTGATAAGATACAGGGGACTATTCCAATTCTTTTGTAGCTGTTGTGGTTTGTTATGCCACTTAGTATGTGGTCGATTTTAGAGTAGTTTGCATGTGGAGTAGAGAAGAAGGTATATTCTTTTTTGTTTGGATGGAATGTTCTATAGATGTCTGTTAAACCTAATTGAGACATAACTTTTGTTAGTTTGTTAATAAACTTTTGTTTATTTGTTAAGTTTCTGACTGGTGGTCCTGTCTAGTGGTTAGAGTGGTGTATTGAAGGCTCCCACTAACTTGTTAGATATTAGGATAGCCACACCTGCTTGCTTTTTAGGCCCATTTGATTGGAAGATCTTTTCCCAGCCCTTTACCCTGAGGTAATGTCTATCTTTGAATCTTAGATGTATTTCTTGTATGCAGAAGAAGGATGGATTCTGTCTTCATATCCATTCTGTTAGCCTGTGTCTTTTTATAGGCGAGTTA